GTTTTTGCAGATCTCTAGAGCTGACACGCTGTAAAATAAGCACAGTTGGTAACAAACACTTAACAAAGGGTTAGGGTCGGTCAATGATGGGTTACCTAATCTGCGTGCCTCCTCGCTCGGGGATATAGAAAGGCATTTAAAAAAAAAGGAATCTTTTCAGAATGGATATAAAATAATTTTAGAGGGGAAGAAAATTGACAACAAGAAAATTTCTTTTTTGCTATCAATATTTTGGAGGGAAAGAAATTAAGAATATCTATAATTGTTGGGGATTCGAAACAATCAAATCGAACCCTTACCCTTCCGGACCTTGTTAGAAAGTTGAGCAAGAAAGAAATTCACCACAAATCAAAGATAAAAACTTGCAGAAGTAAGAACAAGGGAGAACACACGAATTTAACAAGGTTCTGCAACGTGCCTACGTTCTCGGGAGCCACAACACACAATCTCTTTGATTAATTGAAGAAGGAATACAAGCACTCAAACAAGAGATTAATCTCTCTGATATTCTCTCTCTCTTTTCTCTCTTTCTGATGGTTTTTCACGTTCTTATTACCCCTAGATATATATGAATCTCAGCCCAAACAGAATTCAAAACAGATTAGGAAACTGCCAGCTCGACTCGCGGTCGATCGCCGAACCAGTCGCGGTCGATCGGATAAACGACAGAAACCCAAAACACATACAGGGTATCTCCGGTCAACCGCAGAACCCATCGTGGTCGACCGCAAAAAATCCAGAGACTTTTCTTAGTCGCATGCACGTTCGCGGTCGACTGCCGAGAGCACCGCGGTCGACCGCACTACAGTTTTCCTATTTCCTTCGTTTTGATTCATCTTCTTGATTTCAGCTTCGGCTTCAGCTTTGGGTCTACACTTAGACTAACAATCTCCCACTTGGAGACCAAAATGCCATCAGCGAGTTCACCCGAACTCTTCCTTTCTTCGCAAGTATCTTCTCCTCCTCGAAAAATCCTTTCTTCAATCATCAACATCCCGGCGATCTCGCCGATCCTTCTAGTGTGGCTCCGCCTTCATCTTCTACTCGTGAAGGCCAACTGAAGTTGCGCACAACTTCAGTTTCTCAATGGTGATTGTCTTCATTAACATGTCCGCCGGATTTTGACTCCCCAAAATCTTCATTAAGTGTAACTTTCCGTCTTCAATTAGCGAGCATATGAAATGGTATCGTACGTCGATGTGCTTCGTTCTGGCATGATAAACTGGATTCTTGGTAAGATGTATAGCGCTTTGTCTATCACAATAAACAACTCCTCTCTCTTGCTTCAGATCCAACTATTCCAAGCACCCGTTCAACCAGACCATCTCCTTGCTTGCTTCAGTCACCGCGACACACTCAACCTCGGTTGTAGATAAAGTCACAATGGTCTGCAGACTGAGACCTAGCTCATTGCTGTCGACGCTACCCCGTGATGCTTCGCCTCGTATCATGATCACCAGCGAAGTCCGCATCCATGTATCCCTACAGCACTAACTCCTTCCTCCTGAAACATAGTGGCTTGTTCGTTGCCCCTCTTAAGTACCGCAATATCCACTTCACAGCCTCTCAATGCTGCTTCCCTGAATTTCTTACAAACCTGCTTATAACTCCCACTGCATGGGTAATGTCCGGCCTTGTACAAACCATCACGTACATGAGACTCCCAATGGCCGAAGAATATGACATCCTGCTCATATGCTCACTCTCTACATCTGTCTTAGGCGATTTCTCCTCAGATAACTCGAACTGACTTCCAAGAGGTGTGCTAACAACCTTAATATTTTACATATTGAACCTCTGAAGTACATTCTCGATATATCCATCTTGGCTCAACCTCAACTTCCCTTCAGCTTCATCCCTACTGATTCGCATCCTTAAAATCTGCTTTACTGCACCTAGATCCTTCATTACAAACTTCTTTGCCAGTTGCTTCTTCAAACTATTTATCTCCTCTAAACATGGTCCTGCTACTAACATATCATCAACATATAATAACAATATAATAAAGCTAGACTCGAACCTCTTGAAATAGCAGCAATGATCCGAATTGTATTTTCTGTAGCCATTATTTTGCATGAAGTTATCAAACTTCTTGTACCACTGTCTCAGAGCCTGTTTCAAACCATATAAGCTCTTCTTGAGCTTGCACATCATCTCTTCCTTTCCTTCTTCAATGAAGCCAACATGTTACTTCATATAAATTTCTTCATCTAAGTCACCATGAAGAAAGACAGTCTTCATATCTAACTGCTCATGGAAGAGGTTTTCTATAGCCACCAAGCTCAACACCACCCTGATGGTTGTGAGCTTTATAACAGAGGAAAATATCTCCGTGTAGTCCACTCATTCTCGCTATTGGAACCCCTTTATAACTAATCTAGTATTAAACCTCTTGCTTCCATCACTCTCTTGCTTGACCCGGTAGACCTATTTGTTATACAAGGCCTTTTTCTGTGCAGGTAGCTGTGCTAATTCTCATGTCTCATTAGTGAGTAGAAAATCCATCTCCTCCTGCATCGCATGCTCCCACTGCTGAGATTCACTCACTTGTATAACCTCCTCATAGCTCTCTAGTTCACCGCTATCTGTCAACAATAAGTAATCAAGAGATAAAAGATATCTAGGATTCGGTTTGGGTACCCTAGATGACCTCCTAAGCTCCACGCCCTAGGTAGTTGCTTCTGCACCAAGAGTCTTCTCCATTCTTCGATCAGAATAAACATCATCACCCCTATCTAGAAGTTCCTCTAAATCTATGTACTCGGATCCACCTGCATCCGAAGTGCTGCTCCCACTGCTTTGGCTATCCTTGTCATTTTCCCTATCTTTGTACATCACCTCCTCATTGAATATGATGTCTCAGCTCCTGATGATTTTCCTGTTCTTTTCATCCCAAAGGCGATACCCAAACTCATTAATACTGTATCCAATGAATGTGTACTTCTGTGACTTAGCCTCTAGCTTGTCCCTTACATGATCACTAATATGAACATAAGCCACGCAATCAAATACCCGCAAGTGTGAGAGATTTATCTTCTTTCCACTCCAAACCTCCTCTGGAATCCTAAAATCCAATGTAACTAATGGCTCATGATTAATAAGGTAAGCTGTCGTATGCATCGCATTCGTCCAAAATATCTTAGACAGACCTGCATGTAATCGTATGCTCCCGGCACGCTCCGTCAAGGTCCTGTTCATCCTCTCTGCAGTGTCATTCTGCTGCGGCGTTCCTAGAGTAGTCATCTCTAAGTGAATATCATTCGTAACACATAACCTCTTGAATTCCTCCAGCTCGTATTCTCCATCATTGTCTGATCTTAGACACTTCACCTTCAGACCTGTCTTGTTCTCCACCATGGCCTTCCACTTCTTGAAGACTTCGAATACCTCTGACTTGTGCTTCATGAAGTAAATCCACACCTTCCTCGAGTGATCATCGATAAAGGTGATATAGTATCTCGAACTGCTAAAAGAAGACACACTGACTGGACCTCATATATCTGTATGAATCAATTCTAGCTTATGAGCCTTAGATGGTCTTCCACCCTTCTAGAAACTAACACTCTTCTGCTTCCCAAGGATGCAGTCTTCACAAACCCCGACTTCCACGGAGTCAATCTTAGTTAGCTTTCCTTGTGAATGCAAGATCTTCATCCCTTTCTTGCTCATGTGTCCTAGCATATTATGCCACAGATCTATACTCTTTTTACCAGCTACAATTGCGAGGGTGTCACTCTCATGTGAGGTGAGGTAGAGAGTCCCTAATTTATTACCTCGGGCAACTACCATCGTAGTGTTGGAGATTCTCCATGAATCCCCTGTGAATGTTGAAACATAACCTTCTACTCCAAGCTATCCTACCGAAACAAGATTACTTTTCAGCATCAATACGTGTCCCACGTTCTTCAAGTTCCACTTAGAGCCCTTCATCTGAATCTGCACATTGCCCTTTCCAACAATATTACAGGGCTCATTGTCCCCTAAATATACTTTTCCAAAGTCCCCTGTTACATAATTCTAAAAAAGCTTCTTATTAGCAGTGGCGTGAAAAGAGGCTTCTGAGTCGATGATCCAAGAATCTGAATCGCTGTCCATAGTAAGGATCAAAGCATCCTACACGATATGAGCCTCCTGCTCACCTGCATCCTTCTTTGGACTCTTGCAGACTGAAGACATATGGGTCTCCTGGCCACAGTTCTAACACTTTTCTTTGATAGACCTAACCTTTGAGTTCGACCTCTTCTTCACTGACTTCGACCGATTTCTGTTCTAGTTCCCTTTTTTCTGGCTTCTGCCTCTCTGCTTGAAGTTTAGGGCTGAACCTGAACCTTCCGATTCAGACGTTTTTCTTCTAACCTCCTCGGATAGAATCATACTAACTACCTCACTCAGCTTTAACTTTTTCTTCTCTGCCGAATTTCTGATTACCGTCACACAACCTGCCCAACTATCCGACAACTACAGTAGTAATAAAAGGGCCTACACTTCGTCATCAAAAGTGATGTCTACGGAGATAAGCTGATCAACAATCATGTTGAACTCATTGAGGTGCATCGTGAAGGATCGTCCTTCTGCCATCTTAAGGTTGAAAAGAGTTTTTACCAGATGTACCTAGTTTACTGCAGACGGTTGCTCTTACATCTTCGTGAGCGCTTTCATAAGCTCTACCGTCATCTTCTCCTTCAAGATATTATGAGCTACTATATTGGTGAGCGACAACCGGATTTTTCCTAGAGCCTTCCTATCCAGTATCTCCCAATCATCGTCTGACTCGTTTTTCTTCTGTCCATTATCCTTGCCCATCAACGGGCGATACAATTCCTTCTGGTACAAATAGTCCTCCATTTGTGACTTTTAGTAGGTGAAGTCTGAACCGTCAAACTTCTCGATCTTAGATTTGATTTCTCTGCCATGGTTTTCTAACAAATTACTGAACAAAGCTCTGATACTAGTTGTTGGGGATTTGAAACAATCAAATCGAACCATTGCCCTTCCGGACCTTGCTAGAAAGTTGAGGAAGAAAGAAATTCACCACAAATCAAAGATAAAAACTTGCAGAAATAAGAACAAGGGAAAACACATGAATTTAACGAGGTTCGGCAACGTGTCTACATCCTCGGGAGCCACACCACATAATCTCTTTGATTAATTGAAGAAGGAATACAAGCACTCAAATAAGAGATTAATCTCTCTGAGATTCTCTCTCTCTCTCTCTCATGGTTTTTCACGTTCTTATTAGCCATAGAAAACATATAGATATATATATGAATCACAGCCCAAACAGAATTCAAAACAGATTAGGAAACTGCCAGCTCGACTGGCGGTCGACCGTCGAACCAGTCGCGTTCAACCGAATAAACGACAGAAACCCAAAACGCCTACAGGGTATCTCCGGTTGACCGCAGAACCCATCACGGTTGATCGCGAAAAGTCCAGAGACTTTTCTCAGTCGCGTGCACGTTCGCGGTCGACCGTCGAGAGCACCGCGGTCGACCGCACTGTAGTTTTCCTGTTTCCTTCGTTTTGCTTCATCTTCATGATTCCAGCTTCGGCTTCAGCTTTGGGTCTACACTTAGACTAACAATAATAACTATTGAAACATTGCTACTAGGTGTAAATACTTATCTTATGTAAATCCTCATG